TGGTCAATCAGGGGTTAATATTGACACAGTATCCAGACAAAGAATGTTTCCATCGAGACTTTTAATTGTTTGATACGGGGAAGCCAAGCGAGATGGGAAGTGGGTATTTATAGAAGTCTTGTCATTCATGGTTTATTTATGCTTAAGTTTTTAAATAGATTGCTGTCACTGGGTTGTCACAGGTTCAGTCACGCTTTGTTGGGGCAGAGTCAATTAAGCTGCAGACACCAAAGCTTCCATCTCGTCCAATTCCCTAGGAACATCCGTCAAGTTCTCATGTCCAGTCTCTGTGACGAGAATGTTGTCCTCAATGCTATTGACAGCGATTAGCAAGATTGGTATCGATAGCGTGACGGTGGCCACCACAACTTACCGGACTCCACCAACATCCCAGTACTTGTCCAGGACGTCCTTGTTGATGAACTTGCTGTGCGCGGGGTCTTCGAGATAAGGATCGATGATGAACTTGCAAAAGTAGATCTAACATTGTTAGTGACTGACGATTATACACGGCGACCTTCACCCAGAAACTTACACCAGGCTCGACTGTGACAACACTGCCAGCTGGGAGCTTGCCTCGCACGCGCAAGTATCGGAACAGCTTGTCCTTGTCGGCAAAGTTGGGGTTACCACCAGTGTCGTGGGTGTCCATGCCGAGATAATGACCCAGACCATGAGGGAGGAAAGCAGCGCTCGTGCGAGCCTTGAGGATCTCGTCCTTGTCACCCTGGAGAATACCAGCCTCGAGAAGACCGTCAATGGCAATCTGGTGAGCGAGAACGTGAACGTCATCCCATAGAACACCCTCCTTGAGGATGTCTATGCATGCCTTTTGCATCTTGAGGACAGTCTCGTAAATATGACGGGATTCCTTGGTGAACTTGCCCGACAGAGGAAACGTTCGTGTCTAACAGGTCAGCTCAATTCGGACACCACAATAAGGTACACTCACAATGTCGGCAGCGTAGTTGTTGTATTCGCAACCAGCGTCCATCAATAGGTTGAGCTTGCCCTCTGTAGGAGCGTCGTTTCCGACGTAATGCAGAGTAGCAGCAGCCCTTCCAGCGGCCGCAATAGGATCATACGACATCTTCTTGCAACCGTGAGCCATACATCGCTCGTAGAAAGCAGCCTCCAGCTCCTGCTCGTTCTTAGCAGCCTTTGCCTTGGCAAAGACAGCTCGGTGTCCAATACCAGAGATATAGTTGGCCTTTCGCAGCATAGCGACCTCGTATTCGTCCTTGACCACGCGCGACACCTCGATGGCGTTCTTGAGGACGTCAAAGTTCTTGTTGCCAAACTCGATAAAGGACACATGGTCAGAGACTTGCTTCGCGATAGCAAAAGCGGAGGCCTTTGGGTTTGCGGCGCCGAGGTGGGCGAGGGTAGCGTTGAGTTCGGTGGTCAGCTTGACCTCGTCGACATCGTACTGCGAGAGGGCTTCGTCGATGCTAAGGGGGAGACCGGACCAGATAACGTCGTCAGGGTTGATGGGAGGAATGAAAAGGGTCGATTTGGAGGATTGGATGTCGTAGATAAAGTGGCTATCGGGGAGGTTACAGCCGGTGAGGTAGTAAAAGTATCGTCGTTGACTGTTTTGGCGGATGATGGTCAGAACATGTCTTTGTAGAGATAAGGAGCTGTGATGACGCACCGGAAGGGTTCGGGCTCGTCGCTATCTTCCATCATGCGAGTCAACTGACTCTCGAGGTAAATAATACCGTTGGCATCGGGGACGTCTTTGCGAATGAGGTCGACGACGCGCTTCGCATGGGCTTTGCCTGGGTATTTGCCCTTGAGGACGGCATCGTAGTTTTCGGCGACCATGTTAAAGGAGGAAGCTCTAACGGTTTCGAGGCGGGGTATTTTCGACGAGGTATGTTGCGCGCGGATCTCGAGTCTATGTCGTGTAACTCTCAAAGTCGGGGAAGAGAGAAAAGTTGCTGATGGAGAATAAAAACGAGGATACGACCGAGATAAAGACAACCCCGCTATCGACCTCGGAGTTTTTGTTATGACGGAAGCCATTCACGAAACAGGAAGCTCCTTACGTTTTAGTGGTCGCAGCTCACTAATTGCCTTCCCGTTACAGGGTCTTGGTAGTGGGGGTCGGTTGGTGGCGGCTTGTGCAGGGACAACCTCCACTTGCGATGAACGACAGATGGGAATAAAATCGGATGATAAAAGATTTCATGATAAAGAAATGGATCAATTGAAGAACGGGTTATCAATTACCCATTACGGGAACTAACAGTAAAAAAAGAAGTGCATTGGAAGCTGCAATGAAGCTATGTACATGTGAATAATGCGCAAACAAAATAAGTACAAGTCCAGCTCAACTCAATTGAGCTTATTCAGAAAGAAAGTCAAAAATGGCGTTATAAGTAAACGTGTGTGAGTATCCAAAGTTCAATCCATGTCCAGCACCTGGAACAACTGTCGTGTTGAATCGTGAAGCTTGAGTGAAGAATTGCTTGGAGTAGTCGAGCAATGAAGGAAGCTTGACGCCGACACTGGTAGTCGAGTAGCAATTGTCGCCGCAAAAGGGAATGTCGCGTGCTGGAGTTTGTTAGTTTATGTTACTCGTCAGTTCAATTGGGGTTGACTTACATCCTGTCACAATCTGGACTGGGCCAGTATATGTGTTGTTCACGCCCGCCGGCGCACCAAGAGTCAAAAGCTCACCAGGTGTAACAGGCTGACCCTTCTCGAAAGCCACCTTCAAGAACTCAGGATCAAAATCACCCTCGGCGAAAAAGTTGATCTGTACGCCTACAGTCGACGCAGGAGCGACATATCCAGGAGGATAAATAGGTGAGTCAACAACAGGGACAAAGTTGGCTGCGAGCGCAAACCAGGGCAGGTAAGCAGTCGCCTGGGTGAAACCAGTCAAGACGATGGCGTCAGTGAGCTCGGGGCTTTCGTTGGCGAGGGCGTAGGTAATAACAGAACCGAAGGAGTGTCCCAAGTGAACGACCTTGGAGTATCCGCCGCAGCCCACACCAGGAAGAGATCCTTCACGGGCGTGCTTGGTGAGGGCTTTGAGAGCTGCGATCTCGAGAAAGACTTGGATCTCGTTGACGGGGTTGCCCTTGGATGAAGCGCCGATGCCAAGACGATCCCATGTTAGGGTTGAGTAGCCGTGCTCGTCTACTGCGCGTTCAACGTAACTGTAGTTGTAATTATTGAAGGGAAAGTCCCAGTAACTTCTGTCAAACCCAATGCCATGTGTCATAATCTGGAGTTGATCTCCAGGACCGGCATCGGGTTCGCAGTATGTAGCTGCAAGGTCATAAGTACCGGTGACATTGGCTTTCTACTACAAGTCAGCATCAATTAAAACTAGCTGATCAATGACTTACACCAGTCTGGATAGTTTGAGGGTATGGGGTACCGCCCTGTCGAGCAAGATTGATAGCAAAATTTGTAACATCAATCTCTGTCAATGGCGCCTCAATGCTAAATACTACATTCTCAGAGGTGATTGACACAGGGACTGTGATGTTTGTGCACTTGCGCGCCGAAGCAGCGGCAATAAAAGAAAAAAGAGCCAAAGATTTGATCATGATGGAACCTAAAAAGGTTTTAAAGGATTGGAAGAAAATAAGACACAAGGGAGATGAACTGATACATTGTTATTCCCAGATGGCGATCATGGCGACACTTTATACAAGACATGAAGACGTGAAATTACAAATTGTTCGTCATCCGCTGATCGGCCCTGCACAAACGGCCAAGCTAAACTAGACTGCATTAGAAGAGCTGCAGTATTTTTTTTTGTTTCTATCTATGTGTCTCTATTTGCATTTGTTGTTTCTTACAGTCGCGATCTCATCCATGACAGCTCCTGTCATGTGGAGTGGTCCGACCATCATCGGGGCACTGACACTATCACTGTCTCGTTTGCAGTAGTACAAGTTGAGCATGGTCAACCAACCGGAGAATACAAACACACGGACACTAACATGCGGGCTGGCTATTGAGATCTTCCCTCGCCTTGTCGCAGCTAATGTAAGAGGTCCAGTAAGTTGCTTCCTCGTCGACTTTAGCTACGGGAACTTTTTCCAGAGATTGCAGAGTCCACTCGGTGAATGCAGAATGCAGTTTAGTCGACTCGTCTACTGCATGGTAAGAAGTCTAGATCTCTTTTTTCTTTCATTTGTAATTCCCTTGCAGAAGGTTATGCAGCGTTGTCCTTGTTTCTTACTTGCCACTGTTGGAGCTGAACATGTAATGCTGACTGCTATTATACCCGCTTACATGCATTCAAGACAAGACAAACTCAGAGAGCAGGGAATACATGACAAATTATCTCGGGAACCAGTCTGCAATTGACTCAAAAAATGATACGTCTGGACCGTTGCAGTCCTCCCCCTTGCAGCGGATTGTGATAGGCATGACTATCAACTGAGACAAACACACTGACCGGTACACTAACTTACAAGCCAGCTAAAAGTACCGGGTCTATTTTGTTCTAGCGCCGGATGTAATTAATAACAGCGGAGAGCGGAATTAACACGAGTGCGTGTGCTCTTGATGTCAGAGTAGCAGCAAGTTACCATGATGGACTCAATTGACATTATGAGAGTGTTGTGTAGTATTCTCAAGATTTAGGCTAATAAATTCAATCACCAACGAAACAACTAATGGGAAAGTCTTACAAGAACATGCGAAGTTTATTCCGCCGTTGCCGGTCTTAGTAGTCTGGATCAATCTCAAACACACACGGCTGGCGATGATCCAGATGAGCCACTGCCGAGAACAAACTAACACAAGACCATCTCGTAAAAAGAGCCATTCATAATACATACAGCTTAGATCAATTGACACTCGGGCATCGATGCGAAACACTTTGACCAATTGGGCAAGCATGTCGCGCAAGTTGTCAAAGTTGCGAGTCTCACACGTTGTCAAACTGCAAGTGTTACCAAACACCAAGCATCAACACAAACAGTTACACAATCTCATATTCATGTTCCTATCTCTAACGCAAATTAAATTCACAGCTCATCCTTCTCATCAAACTCCTTCTGCAACTGCATCGCCATTCCCAGCGCCGCAAACCCCCCCATATGCATTGCTTGCAAAACACTCCTAAGCATCGTCGCCGCATCCCCAAACGCAAAGCATCCTTTCAAACTCGTCTCATTCCAAGGCGCTTCGGCTTTAATATCCCCCGTGGGTGTTTTCTCGAGACCTAATTGCTCTGCGAAAGGCGCCGCTTGTACAACGTTGGGGTGATTGACAACAAACCCTTCTACCTTGGACGTTCCATCCTCAAAGGTGATCTTCACAGAAGGTCCACCATTCACAAGCGCGAAAGAAGTAATCTTTCGGTCATCGTAGCGGACTTTACTGCTATGGATCTTGGATTGAATAGGCTCGATGAGGGAGGTGTTGGTGTTGGTGTAGACTGTTACTGAATGGGAGAGACGTTTGGCCATGGGCGTTACATGGGCGAGCATATCGGCGTTGGAGATCATACCACCTGCAAAGACACCCACAGACTCTGCTCCTCTTTCCTCAAAGCCATGGCAGTAAAGACAATGGAAGCTGACAAGTATTAGCAAGCAGTCCTCCTTCACATCGAACGAGTTCACTTACATGCCCCGACCCCAACAATCAGCATATCCCTCAGGCAAACCGTCAAAAACATCCCTCACACCAGTCCCAAGACCAAGTTTCCTCCCTTTATATACATTTCCCTCCTTATCAACCGCTTCAAAGATGCCATCGTCCGTCTTGCGTACGGTATCTACCGTAGCAGACTGAAACTCGACGCTGTGGTAGCGTTTCTCGAGATCATCGCGGGCTTTAGCGCGGAAGGAAGCTGGATCTACGTGATCGAATCCAAGAACATTGTGCATGTGTTTTGTAGGGGCGTTGCGATATATGCCTGAGTCGAGAATGAGGACTGAGTAGACTTGGCGGGCGAGTGTTGAGGCCATGGAGAGACCGGCTGGACCACCGCCAATGATAAGAACGTCGTAGAGTTTGGACATTTTGGATAGTAAATCAATTAGAGTGAGTGATTTGGATGTATTAATGTCTTGATGGTATGCTTCTGGGTTTTGTTGGCGTTCTTCATTATATACACAGAACGGAGAGATGTGAAAGGCTCCGATCGGAGACTTTGGGAATGTTTCCTACGGATAGAAAAAAAGACGCCGACGATGTCTTGTTCAATTCTCATTTCATTTCTACACGTCGTTTATTTATTTGAACTCGCGCGACTGGATGTGCTCAATTGAAGAGTTGGTGGTTGAGACGGCGGCTCATTTCACCCTTGAGGGCATCGTGAGATCAGCATCACATTTAGGCAGCGACGTCAAGTCCCACATTCCTTCGGCCCCAGGTACCTACACAAGACATGGACGGTATTAAAAACATGAAAAACCTCATCAAATGTACCGCAAGCGATGCAGGGGCGGTGGCCTCGACTCGGCCAACACTAGAAACATCTCAATTGTACAGCATCATCAAGTCAACAAGTATGGGTGCACCAATTCGGAAACAATTCTGGACCTATTTATTGTACACTATGTACCAAGGTATAAGGCAAAAAGACAAAGCCCGGCCGGGACGCTACATAAATAAAAAAGAGTATCGCTTAGACAAATGCAAGCAAGCAGGTTTCCACCGATCCAGTCACGATGCTCAAGCCTGTCAAAAGCGAGCACCAGTAACCACATCACCCCAACATTCATAAACGCTCCAAGGTAAATGCAAGGGTTATAGAGGACCAGTCCGCGATGAGGCTCTCCCATCGTTTTTTGTCTCGAGATCACCAAAGGCGTATCTCAAGTTCGGACCTGCTACGAGTCATCACCCAGCACCACCCAAGCATCAGAAGTCGGAGTCGCTGCACTGTCAAAGACCTCCCGCTGACGAGGTCCATCATCCAATTCGCTGTCGGAAAAGCAGTCGTAGTCGGAAAGTATCTCATCTGAGATAAGGTCCGGTGGTTGTGATGTATCAACGTCAAAGGAAGGCTGTGACCCGTCGAGCTCGTATATCACGCGCAGAGGAGCAAATGAGCGCTGTGATGGGCTCTGTGAGTCGGGAAGGGAAGTATCGTCGTCTGAAGAGGAGAGGAGTTGAGCGATGGTTTGATCACCGCCCAAATCGGTAAAAGAGAGGTCTAGATGTAGAGGCTGGTTGAAGCTGAAACTTTGGGAGCGCTTGGATTTGCGGGTTGGTTTGGCGGTGCGGATGGAGTAGATGGGTTCTTGGTGGTTGATGCTATCAAGGTTGAAGCCCTCTCCGCGAACCTGCTCATCGTCGTACAGCAAACCCATGCGATACAGCTCAGCAACTTGGTCATCTTCTGTCATGGGCATCTTTCGGCCCAGATAGACATTCCCTCTAGCCGTGGAAGCGTCCCGAAACGCTTCCTCTCTTTCAAGTGTAGGCCTTCTGACGAGACGATATCGGTCGCTAGGGAGAGGGACCTTGCTTCTCGCTAGGTCTCTCCCCTCTAGCTCATCGGAACCACCCAGTCCGTTAGAATGGGCGTGATTCCGGGCGGTGCGATTACGGTGGACGTGTGTCCATCGTGGATTCGCGCGCTGCAGATTCCCTGTCGAGATCTCAAAATGTAGGATCTTTTCGAGCTGAGGACGGCGCGCGGAAGCGGTAGTAGTATCTTGTTGACCACAGCGATGGCAAGTGGCTTCACCCCAGTTCGATGTTGTACACGGTAGTCCAGTGTCGAGGCATAGGTTCGCGCCTTTGTGCTGGGCTTGACGTTTGGCTGTTGCGCGGACAAAGTGATTCCGGGATGTGTGGGCGCGGGTCTTGACGGTACTAGGCGCTGAAGAAATGGGAAAGTGTTTATTCTGCGAAATAGAAGCTGGGAGATCACCCGAGCTGTTGAGTAACAAAGGATTCATGGTGAAGAAACGACGATTAACTTATAAGAGAAGAGGTATGTACTTGGTTAGATGGAAGATGAAGATTAGATGATGTGTCTTTTTTGTCAAAGGGCGTGACAAATGGCGTAAGACGTTGCGTGCTCGCACGAAAGGGCGCACGATTACTATGGGAAAGAATATGAAAGAGATAACTAGAAGACTCGAGGCGACAGTATTAATATGGATGGTATCATGTTGACTCGAAGAGGCGTATTGAGTGCGATATCGTCTTGATTGGTTACCGGAGGAGTCATATGCCCCGTACTAGGGACCCCGGACCATTGCATTACACTCACTAATCCTTGGTCAGGGTACCTAAACTAGGCTGAAGCGTAGCTGGGCACGGGCTGTAGTAGGTACTTTAGGGATGATGGCTCATAATGAACAGCCGTGACGTGACTCACTTGCTTGATCCGGACATGCCAGAGATAACCGAGTGGCGCAGTTGGACCGCCGTCTCCGGATTCACGTCTGACAGACAAACCAGGAGTGCCCACGATAAGCAGGTTTTGAGGAAATGCCTTATCGTCGAGGCATAGAGCGAGGCGCATGATGTTGTTAAACGTGGGGATGCGACATCAAGATGCTGTTGTGCTAGGCAATACATGCGTGTGACTGGATCGCGATTGGACGAGATAGCAAGAATGGCTCACGCTGACGATAAGCAGACAAGAGGGTGTCGTCATGTAAGTACTCATCTCATATGCTTACAGTATAAAAGGTACATGTAGTTGCCTAGAGAATTGCCCGGGTGTTGGTCTTCTACCAAGGTTCTTCTTCATTTCTTGTACTGTAGCCTGCTGACCAAGGTTGGAGACAAAGACAGGGAAACAAAGCATGGATTCAAACCTGGGGAAGCCAGTCTCTGAAACGGGCCAAGGCATAAAATGACGATAGTGAGTTTGTTGTTATTGGTCCGTGTTGGAGCGTTGCACTGGGAGATTGTTTGATCACCCGTTGGTGCAGAAAGTTGGAGTTGACCAACAGTTATCCGAGGATAAAGGCACGATGTACGATAAGACAGCCGCAGATAAGAAAGTTCCAAATGCGGTAATGTTGAAATGTGCACTGCATTTTTAACCTCCCCCAATGTCTTGTATTGTGTTGCATGAAAATGTTTATTAAACCAGGTAACCAAGGCATCCAGTTGGCTGAAAGGGACAGAGCCGAGGTGGATCATTTACTGCATTATTGACTCGCCCTCCACTGCATTTTTAACCTCTCTCAAGCTATCAGGCTGTTTTCAAGCCACCCTGTGTTTGCTGAGGCCAAATACTCACTGCAATCATAACCTCCTCCACGTTCTCCATCGTACTGAATTGACAATGTTTCTTAAAGAAGGCAACCAATGCATACGGTCCTCTATTACATTATTGACCCTACCATGCGTCATACCCTCGTATGACTGCATGGATTAAAGGCACAGCAACTGTCAAAAATAAAGATCGTCATCTTTAAACTCGGCTCAACATTGAAAGAGGTCATAGTAGAGACAAGGCTGCTATTTTTAACAATTGCCACCTCCCATCCATGCAACGAGCGCCAAGACGCCCAGTCTTAACTGCGATTTTAAACTCCCTCAAGGTCTTGCACGGTACTGAATTGGCAATGCTTTCAAAACTGACTGGAGCATCCAACTTGATGTCCGAGGCGAATATTTCACTGCATCTTTAACCCTTCCCAAGCCTTGCGCGGCAAACTACGCTAGGCTGCGAGACGTTAAGCAACCTCAACCTCCTCTAAATAGTGGTGACTGAGTCAACTACAGCAACAATGCTAGGAAAACACGATAACTATAGTGAGTCCTTTACTAAATTTTTTAATCGTCGTGAAACTTGAGGGTTCTTCTCAAAATACCCAGCTAGGTAAAGTATCCATCTTGATGCATGGAGATGGAGTGGATCTTCACTGCATTATTAACTCTTCCCAAGCGTTCCATATTTGATGGATTTGCTTCAAAGCATGATGACTTTTTCGGTGTGCAGTTTAAGAGTTGTAGCCTTGAAGGACTGTATTGATTGGTATAGTAACTGTCAAATATAAACATTGTGGCGAACTAAGCGGCCATCTTCACTGTATTTTGACCTCTCTCAAGTTGTTGAGTTGTTTTCAAGTCATGCTGATGCCAACATGTTTACTGCGATTATAACCTCCTCCATGGTCTTCATTGTACTAAGTTGATAATGTTTTTTGTTTGTATTTTTTTTTATAAGAAAAGACAACCAATGCGCCCTGTCCTTCAATGAATGAAGGCACGATGGAGTAAGTGATAAGGCAGCCGCAGATAAGAAAGTTCCAAATGCGGTAATCCCTTGCTACGTTCACTGCAATTTTAACCTTCCCCGGTGTCTTGTAATACTGAATTGACAATGTTTCTTGAAAGAGGCAACCAATGTATCCAGTCCTTCACGGCATCAATAACACTTCCCACGCTTCATAGCCTCGTGGGACTTTTTTTTATGGGGGTCTTCTCAAAGTCTAATAGATCTGACCAAGCCTCGTGGGACTACATAGATTGGAGGATTGACAACTGTTAAAAATACGGATAAAGATCATCTTGATCAGCTTGTCTACCATAACGCGAAATTCGCAACTGCGCACGGGTAGCTCCGGAGCTACAGGGAATGATTTAGCTTACCCCCGGGCCGTAATCGGCTTGGGGCAGCCTCCAGTGGGGTCGCTAGAGATCCGCCAGAGGCAAGCCAGCTGTAGGTCTCACTGAAGAGTAGTCAGTAAATCTTGTCTACGAAGATTAAAGGAGGAAAAGGCATCTACGAGGGACTTTGCAAGAGATCCAGAATATGGAGAAATATAAAGAAACAGGAAGAGTGAAGAAAAGAAGAAGAATACATGTGCCTAGGCAGAGGCTTTGCATACGTGTAGGATAACGGGGTCGAATACACAATTGGTACAGTAAACAGGACGGCAGTGATCCCACGTCGTCTTCCTTTCACAATCTTTTAGACGATCGGGAAAAACATGTCGCTGGTATATATGCATCTTAATAATCTTGTGTGAAAATTATGCGTGCACATCACTTCTTCTACTATCAGCGCAGAACACGAATTCTCTCCAAATGTCTCGCCTCCAAAGGCTCAAGGATCCCAGTCTCCGTCTTAATAACAGCCGCAGAGTCTTATTATCTTTTCCACAATAGAACTTGTGGCGGAATCGCCTGTGAACACGGCCAGCGTGTCAGCGATGGCTACACATAAGAGGGAGGTTCAAACGTTCCAGGAAATGTCGTCATCCCTGAACGTTTCTTGCTCTGTAAGTTGTCTACCACAGAAACTCGCTCTGGTCAAACCGAACTGGGATGGCCCTCTGCAGGCGGGCGAGTTAACTCGACCTCAACATGGTAGACAATGTCTCTCTAGTTCTAGATCAAAGCTACACTATCGGAGAATACAACATCTGTACGCGAATAGTCATGAGACAATGCACCCAACACACAGTGCATGCATTTCCCAGTCAAGTAGTTGGTGGTTCAATATGATTCACGAAGCTCAATACTCACTTTGCGCCTCACTTTACAGCCAATAGCCATAATAGGTACTCGTATTCCTCAGTTCCTTCAGCCTTCGCTCAGGTTGTCTTAACTGCATCAACGTTCTTAACAAAGGTTCATCTTTCTGCTCAGACTATTAAAGAATGTTCTCTATAGTTCTTACTAATAAGACCAAGTTTCCCAATGTAAACGCAACTAATAGGACAGCTTTCTGGGCTCTATGATGCCGGTAATTAATAAAAGAAGCTTCTGTTAAGTCATACAGACAGCAGCAAGGTCTACCCCTCCCAACCCTCAATCAAAGCCCAGCCCGTTATGTTACCACCGCATCAATCGTCCTGTAGCATAGGAAGCCACTTTCCTGCGGTCAGAGGTTCGACGTACTGGTAGTACGGGGTGGTCTTATAAACCAGAAGCGCCTTCATCGCACCACAACGAAGCATACAGCCCGGTTCGCAAACCATGCCTCAATGTCTTATTCCATGTCATATCTTCAGGGTGATGTATAACTAGCAAGCATAATAGATTACAGTTCATATTATAGCTTTATTCTCATACAGACAAAAGCGCTGTGAGACCTGCTCAGTAGCTAGCTTCTACTTGGTCTTCGTTCAATACACACGACCCAAGAGCCACTCTTAATTGGTCATCGAGTCTTTGACCAACATACCAAGTTTTGTTAGTTAACCCGTTCAGATCACCGCTCCAATCCCTCTTGCCAACATCATTTTAGAATACTCTAGCATTAATATGCAAATCTCTGTGCTAGACTGGGGTACGTGGTGGTTCAGACGACGTCGATGGCGGGCAACGTAAAATCGGAAGAAGAATGGGGGATGCAAGGCTGAACTTGTAGAGACCTGGGAGCAAAAGTTAATGGCAATTCCCTGCTTCAAAGGACACTCACCTGTTCAAATCATGGCGCTGAGTTGGCGCAGCCTTCTCTGTAGCGTATTGGTCACCGAAGAGCTTTAGAACTGGTCATCTTTGGAAGACACATGTTGTTCATAACTGTATAACAATGATCTATAGACATCAGTTCGTTTGTCGCTTGATTATTTATTTCTTCTGTTCTTTTTAGTGACCGTTCTACTAAAGAGAATGACGCTTCAAGTCAAGTCGTGTATGATATGTACGAAGGTTCTTGTTTCCCGTCCCTTGAGACCAGGGGCATAAACTGCAGCCATTCTAAACATACTTGGCTTGTTTCATTTGATTTACCATGGATGTAGTCTGCGGCGCTATCAGACTGGGCACTTTGATCCTTCAATCTCCAAGTGTCTGCGCCGAATTTATTGATGATGCCAAAGAATGACAGGTTGGGTTTGACTAGGACCGCCGAGCTTTAAGGCAGTCCAAGTCTACTTTGACCAGAAAAGATCCTCGTAAACAGTTTAAAAGCTAGTTTTAGATGATGAAGCACTTCTTGAACAAAGGGCGACTTACTTAGAAGACCGTGTTATCAAGGTCCAGCGAAGTCTGACGATGATTGAGCGAAGGTCATTCCTTGACCACATCGCCAAATAGACGCTGTTGATAACAGGGCAGGCGGAGTTAAATTATGTGCAAAATCAGGTTCAGTGTTAGATCCTACAGTTCGATGTTGGCGTCCTTGGCCTTCCAGCTGAACTACAAACTGTGACCCCAGTGGCTATAGAGGCCGAATCACCAGCTATCTTGAAGGCTGACAACAAACTTTGCAACTTTGTCGATACTCTTCCAAGCATCAAGAGATGCAATCAAATAACCTGTGGCTCAAATATTCCGACAATTCTGTATTCGAAGTCATCAACTGGGTAGTGTCTCGTCCCTGTCGCTATCAGACGACGGTTATCAACTCATCTTTTCCACTCGAAGAGTTTCCCCAGATATGATCCCTGGCACATAGTTAATTTGACACCCTCATATCGGATATGGAAATGCTAGATACGGCTCCCGATTGCTTGGATCCAGCTACACGCTCGGCTGCTGAAAGTTGGATGACATCTGTCCCATCCCCAGAGCAGACAATTCTCTTTGCCCTCAAGCCACCGTACCCAACGCTGTCTATGATTAGTTCACAAGATATTATCTTTAACAATTGCTTTATCCGAGTTGAAAGTGCTCTCAGAAAGCGCCTGAATGTTATTGTGCAGCTTGTCGAGGTCATCCTGTTCCTTCGCGTGGTAGGGTTTGTCCACAAGAACATCACATCCCCCAGTATCGCGACTCTCCAATTGCCCGACCCCACCACTGACTATTTGGCAGGCGAATCATGCCTTTAAATATGTATATCTGACAGTCTTTGACTTGATCCGTGATGTAGATGGGAATCCTGAGAAGGAAGGCGCCATTCAAGAGATACACGAGTTGCCGTGGTGAGTACAGGATTCCGGCATTTTTCAGCGTCCAGTCGTCTGGCAGGACAAATCAGTTTGATATATACCTGGAAGTATGGCTTCCATTGTATTGGTGTCTGACTACTCAAGACTGGACTGGTGGTGGCTGCTCTCACTTTTTATGCGACGACTGGATGAAGGCGACTCGGCCGACTGGGCACAAAGGTCAGTAAAAGACATCAACAAATCCCGATATAGTGCTTTACTTTAGATAGCGGAAGTGTTGCCAAGGAAGATGATTCCGTAAGCCAGGTTCCTTTGAAGAGATTGTGATTGCTACAGCACTGTTGCGTTACCGTCCATGTTCACCAAAATGATCGAGGTCCGCGTTATGCCACAATGTGGTCTGGGCAAGGGGACTTCTGTAGCTGATATACGGATGAATTAATAATAGCCGTTCATTCATTTGTTGTTAAGTCTAGATGATATGTGGAAGTGATTGATATGGCATGACCTAATGACCTGCGTTGGGCTTGATGTGAACCTCGATCAATTTGGTGGAAATGTGCGGTAGTGGGTTACAGTTAAGCTTGCATGTCCATTGGAATCGTCAGCAAGTCGACCTCAATAGGACAGTGGAATGTTGAGGTTGCTCCTCTTTTACATTAATAATTTAATAATTCGCTGTCATAATTAATTGTTGCCCATTATCTTTTGGTTTTGACAATAGCAGCAATAAGTAACCATGGCTTGAAAGGAAAACGATCTTTGTTGCGTTCCATTTAAATACAAGCAATTAGGTGGGCCAGATGCTCATCCGTGTAATACCATTGGTGTATCAAGGCAACAAGTGGCATAATTGGTGTTAGTGATTGGCTTGGACGGTCAAGGCCACTGCTTATGGTGAACAAAATGTCGGACAGTTTAATTCCTCTTCTACTTTGTGTTGCCATAAACACACACTTCAACGTCTCTTATAAATATTAAAATACTATATGGCATTCAACGGACCCCAATTAGATAATATCAAACAGAGAAAAGTTCGTAATAGTCAGCGTTGCAAAAGCCGACCAAGCCGTGTTTCCGCTGACACTCTGTCTTGTAAGACGCAGATTGCCTAACCGATCAGCACTAACAGGTTGGGTTACAGTGCAACGACACCACTGTAAAATCCTTTAAGAAATGCAACTGTGTTAGTGGACTGGCTCGGACTTTTAGCGCTTATCTTTCTCACCACCATCGTCATCCACGGCATCTCGAGGCACAAGCTACAAACAATTAGGCTAATGATTGACGGCATGTAAGAATGGTGAGTGTATTTTCTTTATAGTTGCCCATTTCCCCAGATATTTCTCAAGTAGTCCTGTGTTCTGTATGAACCTCACAACAGCAGCAGTCATGGCCGAATACCCAAAGCGCAACAGGACCCGAGTCGCTGATCTCGCCTCTGGATTCCCCCACGTCCCAGCTTTTGACGGCGAGGAATCACTCGACAAGCCTCAGATCGCTTCAGAATTCATCAGAGAATTCTCTTCTGCTGTTATCAGTTCAGACTGGGACAAATTCGCTGACCTCTTTGTTGAGGATGCTTGGTGGAGGGATGCGCTTACTCTCACCTTTGACAAGCGTACGATCCATGGTCGATCCGCGATACAGTTAGCATGGAAGACTCTATCCGAGAATCACAAGCGCAAACCCTCAGAATTCTCCGACAACCCAACAGGAATCTGGGGCATGACTCCCCAGTACATGCGCTTTTCTCCGACCCTTGCTTGTTTAGATGTGCCTTTTGGGTTCCGCACTGAAGAGCCGCGCTCCAAATGCGTTGGTCAGGCGAAACTCGTCCATGTCGATGGGAAGTGGCTTATTTGGATCTTGAGTACAGCTGTCCAAGAACTGATTGACCACCCATTTGAGCAATTGCCTCGTTTGTCCAAGTCCTCAATTGACAGTTCTCAACGAGGCATACCATCTGCTCAAGGTCTACCCAACCTCTCTGGTGTTCTTGACGCCGTTGTCATCGGAGGAAGTTCCAGCGACTTGGCCAACACAATCATGCTCGATTCTGCTGGCGCCGACGTCGCTGTGTTTGATGTAGAGCTTGAAGCAGGTGGGAATTGGTCCACGTCACGATACTCTAGCGTTGTTCTCCATCACAATAGGAGCATGGTTCAATTGCCTATGTTTCCCATCCCATCTGACGACTACCCAGAATACATGGGAGGCAAAGACTTGACGAGGTACATGTCATGTGCAGTAGAACAGCTCAAGCTTCCGTTCTTTGGAGGTATACAAGTCACTGGTAGTACATGGCATGAGAATGCTCAGTATTGGGCGATTGATCTAAAAGACATTCAATCGGGCAACACATCCACGATCAAAGCCAAGAACCTCGTTCTGTCCAATGGCTTTCTCATCTCAAAGGCAAACACTTACATTCCACCTCTTGAAGGTCGGGAAAAATTCCACGGTCCAGCTCAGCATACTTCCGAGTATCGCGACACAACCTTGTACAAAGACCTTGATGTAGTTGTCGTCGGGTCCGGAAACTCTGCTCACGACGTGGCTAAAGACCTCGCCCTCAACGGCGCAAAGAGCGTCACCATGCTACAACGAAGTCCGACGACACTGTTAGACTTTGACATGTTCATTTCGGTCGTTTCAATGCGTTATCAGGGTCAAATGCCCGTTGAAGCAGCAGATTTCCACGAAAACTCTCTACCTCTAGGAGTAATGCGCGACATGGCCAGTGGGTTAATGTCATCTCTCACTCAAACCATGGAACCGCGTCATAAACTCCTTCAAGAAAAGGGTTACCAGATAGAGAAACAGGTCTGCTTACCTTGTCGAGCATTTGAGGAACGTGGGAGGTCTATTTACATTGATCAAGAAAGAGTGTTTGACTTGGTTTTGTCGGATCGCATCCGCATTGCCAATGGTGAAGCAAAGGGACTGACAGAACAGGGACTCATTGTATACGACAAGGCTGAGAATAAGTCGAAAATAATTCCAGCGGGAGGTATAGTCTTTGCGACGGGATACAGAAATGAGGATTTGCCAAAGAAGTACGCCGATGCTGGTTTCATTGACAAGGAATCAGCGGCTCATCTTGAGAATGTGAGCGTACCGAGTGTTGACGATGAGGGCGAGCCTCCTGGTTACGTGACATATTCCGGTCGTAAGTTTTCCTCCAATAATTGAAGATAGTACTAATGTCTTTTAGACCCTCATCTGTACTTTGCTGGTATTGGATTCTGGATGTGTCGATGGATTGTAAGTATTGTTCCAAGTACAGGTTTTAACCCAGCTAATTTTTGGTGATTAGAGTCGCTATGTCGCTGTGCAGGTCATGGCTGATGTCAAGGGCGCATTCCCTGAACGCTATACACGAGGTTGAAGGTAATTAATTGTATCGACGGGAGATGTGGTCTTTACCTTTGTTGAGAATTAGTTGAAAGGAAATAATGGACAATGGTGAACAGTTTTTAAGCATCCGACTTGGTTAGGTCTGTCTCTAGTTATTTTTAGGAGGTGACACTGTCTATAGCAGTAACTTTCGTGTTCGCTCGAGAGTCAAGATCAACCATTGGCCGTAGCATCCTTTTCCGTGTGAATAAGTGCTTAAAAACCACGGTGATCAAAGTAGAAACTTGAGCGGCAACAAAAACGTATCTATCTTCTTTCCAAAAATAAATAAATAAATAAAAAAGGGAGAAAAAGATCGGGAGGGCAGACGAGTAAGTTAGGCTCTTTAATTACACGTTTAATGACGACAATAATCTAACAAGACTCAGCACCGTTCTTTATATAGTTTATCTATATCCAGAAGTGATAGCGACAGCAGAGAGATACAAATCGCATCAACCTGACACGAATTGGCAAAGATAAATGGTGTCGTTGAAGATGGTCACCATGCTCAACGGTTGAATACAGTGAGTAGTCCACTGGAATATCACCTAGAATTTGGTGGTTCGAGTAACGTGATTTTCAACACTCAATTCTGACTTTGACTCTCCGAAACTGAGAGACCTCTATCCATACTTGGACAGTCAGCTACCACTTCTTCTTCTTCCTACATTACAAACAGCCGCTCTTCGATCGACCATTCAGCTTCGATATTTGACCAGGATGCCAAGCTTTGTCAACGAATCTGCCCAGATTTCCTTCTCATCCCTATCTGTTGCCATTAATCGCAAGGGCAGCTTCACCAACGCAATGCCTACCCATTGCACACATCGTAAAAGCCTGCTATAACCTCGATAAAATATGCCCAATGGATGAAAGAAGGGATTCGGGCGTACGCTCTCGGTTAGGCAACATGCTCACCTTGGACTGGAGACAAGTATTAAATAAAATCCAGTACCAGTCTTTATGCGGCCCATTTGCATCTTGAAAGAATAGCGAAGCAAAAGAATGAGAACAGCATTAAGCTGATGAACGATAGGATGAATGGTGTTGTTGACGATGATCAGTTCAGCGACGAAGCACTCGTCCCATCCCATCTACCCTCCATCTGTGTACCTCACCCCTCGACGACAACACAACTTGGAATCTCACCCAATTATCCGTTCGTTCAACATTCCATAAAAACAAGAATCTAGGCTCATCGTCACTTGTTCCCTACTCAAATTGCATACCATGAGGCTGGGCAAAGGGGTAGTCTAACCAACCAGAACCTGCGCACTGCCCTGTCTCAGACAATTCTCGTCTTTACACCAATGGTTTCCAACCTTTTGAGAGAAGAAAGAGCTTGTTCATTTCTAGATTGCGAGGTTGGAGTGACATATCAAAGAAAGGAGAGGACCAGAGTGTAGTATTGTCTGTTGTAAGTGAGAAATGCGCTTGTGTGCATTGTGAACGAGTAAGGCTACTCAGTGGGGGAATGGAATAGAGGGTTTCATTCCTTACAGTTGGTAAGGAAATGTGGGTTGTCCTGGCAGTGGTGTAGGTACCAGGGAGACTGGAGTCTCGAGTGTTCATCTTCATCAACTTCAAATGACAGTTGCGACAAACAGTTGTTTAAAATAAATAAGCTTTTTTGGCTTGGCAGACGTTGAGAATACACAAGGTTCACAACGGTGTAATTGATGTTCAACGCTCAATTGATCCATTGCCAAAGGTGCCCATCTCGAGTGAATGCTGTAGGGTATGTCTTCTCCCCTCCCTTCTTCTGTCAACTCCTTCCATTGACAGCTGTAAACTGCAAGCGATAACCCGACAAACAATTCAATCTAATGTGCCGATACCCATTTCACGGAAACAGAATTACTTCATTGTCCCCAGCCATAAGCATGAACTGACCAATACAATCGTTCCCAACCGTTGTGAATACCTCAGCGGGTGAAACAGTATGCGCGTTTTGACCGAAAACAATCTACCCACCAACAGAATTGCAAACGTGTTGGCCGGGTTCGTCATGGCATGCTGAACTGTTTCGGTCCACTCCGTCTACAAGTTTCGCCAAGAATGACAATGATTGTGGTCTTGAGTGGCCAATCCATGTCTTTTTCCCCATCTTCTTTTTTTTCTGGTTATCTTACCGGCTGGCTGTCTCTGGTATTCGTGTTGCCACAGCGCACAAGTCAACCACCGACTAAGGATCAGCGTAAGTAGGAATTTGGTCATTGGCTGCCATTCAATTGAGAATGGCATCATCATCGCAAAGAATTAATTTGGGTGACACAAGAATAATTAATTGCTTGACTTCAATTGAGAACATCACCTTCAATACTGCAGGAACCGTTTGTGATTGTCAACGACTCTTGGCTGTCTCTAGAACCTGGATGCGCCCGCAAGGCTTGAAACAATTGCCAAGAGGACGAATCCAAGGGCCTGGAAATGGCAAGAAATCCAACTTCCATGGTAAAATTGTCATATCAAGGGAGCAAAAGGAGACAATTACTGCGCTTTGACTTGACGTGGATTACGACGCCTTGAATTAAACTGCAATCAGTCTAGCCAGCACTCTCAAAGAATGGACTCGTTTTATTTCTCATACTGAATTCAGTTCTGGTTCTTGACATGGTGAGACACTGTGATAGACTACCGCCGTTTAGTTGGACAACAGTGGATAAGCTGGTGCTGCCCTGCATGTTTTAGCGATAACAACAAGGAATGCTTTCTCGCATGCAGAAGGGAACGAATTCCAAGGGAAACACTTGCAGTAATTGCAATTCCCAATAAACGAGAACAGTAGAGTCTGAATACTCGCTCAAAGGGCGACCAAATCTTGTATATAACATGGACAAACTTCCTCTCAATATCCTTCTCATCTCATCCTCACTCTCATCTTCCCATCGAGGACCAGGTCATTCTTTTACAACAACAACAACAATCACATTCACTTTTTGAATCATTTCAACTCACTCAATTCACTCGTTTTTAATCACTTTGCATTTTTCCAGCTTACCTAATCGAAAATGCGCTTCACTCCTGGCTTACTCTTGGCTTTGGCCTCGAGTGTCACTGCTCAGCGATTCACCAACTCCAGTATTCCCGCTACCGGGTCTGCTACTGAGTCTGCTACTGGCACCACCACTGAGCTCGCTCCCACCAGCTCTGCTGGTCCTCCTCAGCCTGTTGACCTCAGCAGTGCTACCCTTGGTCCTGGTGCTTCATTCTCCAGTTTTCCCGATGGCTCTCTTGCTATCCTCCTGTCCGCTGGACCCAACGGTATCGCCTCCTTCTCTGTTGGGGGTGCTTTCCCTTTCGGCATCATTGTCGGAGATTTGATCCAGATCTTGTTCAGCATCCTTGTTGAGCTCCTCGACATCAACCGCAAGCGTGCTGACGGTGGTTGCACCCTTGATGTCACTGTCGACGGTGTGAGCGTCTTCACCGAGGGTCTCGAGACCACCGGCGGCGTTGTTAGCCGTTCATCTTCCGGTACTCCTGCTGGCGACTCCGCTCCTGTCCTTGAGTTCGTTCAGTCTTGCGGTGCCAACCCTTCTGCTCTCACTGTTGGCAATGTCAAGGTTGCTGCCGATGATGGCTCCGGTGGTGGCGGCGGTAACGGCGGCGGCGGTAACGGCGGCAACACCGACACCGAGACCGGCACCGCTATCGTCACTGAGGCTACTCTCACCAACAGCGAGGGCGAGCCTACCGCTACCGTTACCGACACCATCATCCCTACCGACACTGAGGTCAACACCAACTCTGAGGGCGAGACCGTTGTTCCCACCGGTACCAACACCAACTCCGAGGGCGCTACTACCAACTCTGAGGGCGAGACCATCGTTCCCACCGGTACTGAGACTGCCACCGATGTCAACACCAACTCTGAGGGTGCTACTACCAACTCCGAGGGCGAGACCATCACTGCTACTGGCACTGAGACTGCTCCCACCTCCACCGCTACCTCTGCTGCCGGCTTCCCCGGTTCCATCGACAACTTTGTTCTCTTCGGCTGTGTCGGTTCCACCAACGGTTTCCCTACTTTTGAGCTTGCCCAATCTTCCGGTTCCATGGACCTCGACGAGTGTGCCGGCCTCTGTGTCGGTCGCAGCTACTTTGGTGTTCACGACACTGACTGCTACTGTGGTGACGAGATCAACGACGATGATACCGAGCGCGTTAACCTCGACTCTTGCGACATTGAGTGCCCTGGCGATGACTCCGAGTTCTGTGGTGGTGATGCTCCTCTTGCTCGCCGCAGCCGCTTCAGCCGCCGCCAGTCTGCCATTCCCAACACCATCCTCCTCACTGTCTACGTCAACCTCGGCGGCCCTGATGTTACCCTCACCGATGTCATCACTGCTACCGTGACCGACCAGTCCACCATCACCACCACCTTCACAACCACCATCGACGGTCCTTCCACCACCCAGACCCAGACCGTCACCGCTATCTACGTGTGCTCCAACGGACACTGCTACGACTCCGACAAGGGCGGACGCATCGTCTACATCTTCAAGCCTTACCCCGGTGAGGACTGCGATGGCCAGTACGTCTACATCTCCGAGGCCTGCGATTGCAAGGGTGGATCTCAGTACGTTCCCAAGTACTGCACCAACGGATCTTGCCACGGCCTCACTGTCTACAAGCCTGAGCAGTGTGATGACTGGTACAACTACGACGTTTGCTACACTCCTGCCGACTGTGAGTCTTGCGAGCATGGCCAGGTCATCTACAAGCCTTGGGAGAACACCTACGGTACCCCCGACCACCCCAAGGTTCCTGAGCTTCCTGTCTGCTCTTCTTCTCACTGCCCCGACACTGAGCACGGTTCCAAGCCCGCTCCTCCTTGTTACGGTGACCACTGTGAGGGATCTGGTTCCAAGCCCACTCCTCCTTGCTACGGTGACCACTGCGAAGAGTCTGGCTCCAAGCCTGCTCCTCCCTGCACCGGTGACCACTGCGAAGAGTCTGGCTCCAAGCCCGCTCCTCCCTGCACCGGTGACCACTGCGAAGAGTCTGGCTCCAAGCCCGCTCCTCCTTGCACTGGTGACCACTGTGAAGAGTCAGGTTCCAAGCCTGCTCCTCCTTCCGGTGGTGGCTCTTCCGACTCTGGTTCCAAGCCTGCTCCTCCTTCTGGTGGCTCTGACTCTGGATCCAAGCCCGCTCCTCCTTCTGGTGGTTCTGACTCTGGATACAAGCCTGCTCCTCCCTCCGGCGGTGAGTCTGACTCTGGCTCCAAAGGCTCTTCCGGTGGCGAGTCTTCTGGTGAGGCTCCTTGCTCTGGTGACCACTGCGAGCCCACCATTGTCAGCTCCGCTGGCAAGCAGGCTGTCGGCGGTCTTGCTCTCCTTGCTGCCGTCGCTGCTGCTCTTCTCTAAGCGCATCGCGTGCATTGGATCTTACTTTAGCATTCAGCCTTCTTTTCTGAACCTGACTTTTCACTTCTTCTTCTGCCTTTTTCTCTTTGGGAAGATGGATAGATCTGCATTGCACAATCGAGGTGGCTTGTAGTTGGAAACGAAAAACATTTTTGGAGCAGGTGTTTTAATGGGAGGGAGTAATTCGGGGTTAGCCTACTCAATCTAATACTTTTTGCAACCTATTCTTGAGCAATTTGGCTTGTGACATTTTGCTTTTGACTTGTGACTCTTGACTCTTGACTTTGGTACTGTCGTCTTTTTTACTGTTAATCCCCGTACTCACAACAGTGGAGAAAGTGACGGAAATGCAACCTCGGAAGTTCCGTCCAGTTCCGAAAGAACAAACATATGGTCGAAATTTGTATTTGAACGTTACAACCCAACAACATCAACTGTCAACGCGACAGTTAACCCACTATTGATTGGACCAAGTCAAAGATCCTCCAACGATAACATGGCTGCTTCAAGAGTTGACCCCGCAGGTGAACACTGAGCAATTTTATACCTGGTCCGAGACGAATGCTGATGATCTTGAAAAGACGCACTGCAACTCGCAGCCATCACGTTTGACTGGGGAGATAGTCTAGATACCAAGGTAAGAAGACTCTCCTCTCCAACATACAATGCCGTTCACCTAACGCATATCTAGGACTGGGCTCGTCTAGAAGCCATACTTGCCCCACAACTCAACGTACGTACCTTCATCTCACCATCTCCTCGTCGTCTAACTCTCCATAGGTTGACTACGCCGAGGTAACAGGACAAACTTGGGATGCAATGCCAGCCAAAGAGTTCATCGCCATGGTCTCAGCCCCAAGTTTCGTCGGGGATCCTCTTGTCGACACGCAGCATTTCATTGGGGGATCCAAGTATGAAGTCATCTCGACGGACCGTGTTGTTGGTAAACATCAACTACGGGCTGCTCATCAACGATACACTGGACCTGATAAGGCGGTAGTCGAAGCCAAGGGCCATTGTCATGCTTTGATGCAGCATACCTATGTCAAGATAGAGGGAGAGTGGAAGTTGGCGGGGTTGAAGCCAAAGATTTATTGGACTGAGTTTGACTTTGACAGGATCTTTACGAGTAGTTCATGAAGGATTCATATCAGAAGTTCGATTGGGAGGAATAGATGCTTCATGCCTTATCTCAAAGTTGTACCATTTGTCCAAGACCCTTTAAGGCGGAAACGCTTGAAAGTAACTCGTGCTGACGAAGCTTTAAAGACTGGACTTGATCTTAACAAGTAACTACGATAAATACTTGTCACTTGAACATCTAGCCATTCGTCTTTTCAAACTCCACTTCCTGTAGATCTTTCGTGAGGATCTGGATATAAGTATCTTAGGTGTATCAGACTGAAACAGTTTAATAGTAATAAAGATTGGGTCTTGTTGGTATTTATAATTATTGCCTTTATATTTATAAAGAGAAACTTGAGTCCAACAGTAGCAATGGTCAAGTATGGGGAGTGGTTCATCGACACCTCTCGGGATGGCCAATGGGTTACATCATCATTTACCAGATGACACAGCGAGCTCGATGAAGAGCTGGTTAGGAAACAACATAATGGAAGGCGCATTCTAAAAGCCTCCATTTGTCTCATATCTCATTATTACCTGGGGCATGACGATGCAGACTACCTCTTATATGAAGCAAACTTATCACTGCATCAAGTCTGACACATGGCCAAAATGCAACATGGCAGACACAGATGCATTTTATTTGAGTACAAATAGATATTTACGAAATTATAGTTGGCAATATGGATTGAAGCTTCAGGTATCAGTTGCCAGAAGCTGAACTAGGAGTGAGTGACGGTGTCTTGGGAAGGTCAGCATAGCCATTGAAGCTGGGAGTTTTGCTACTACATGCACCGCTACAACATTTGCCAAAGGTGAAAACGATGGTCAAGTGTTTCTATAGCTTTGAAAGCTGATGAGAAGACGTTATCTTACCGGTAAACTGGTGCTTGTACCAGATAGGTCTTGCAGCGTTCCAGGTACTGTTGCGTCGGACATGTAAATAGAGCACTCTGCATCATTAGTAGCAGTCAGTATCCAAACGTTCGTAGCGGCTTGCTGACAATCTGGAAAGAAATGCAAACTTGAAAGTAGTTTCCCAACAGTGCAACAACAAGACTATTCGGACATATCAAAAATGCCACCAATCAATGGAGGAACGAACAAGCCTAGTTATTGCGATATAGATTAGTGTCAACCTATTTTGACATCATTGCCTTGTGTTAGACTACGAGTTACGGTATTATAGAACTACCAGCGGTTCATAAACTGCCTGGAAGAACAAGTACTTTCTTTCTATAGGTTTCGGCTTTTAGTAAACTCAAAAACAGCAGGTTGGCCCCAAACCACTTTGGAAATAGTCCTTACAGTATTAGGAAAGTTGCTCTAAGAGACAAAATCAGTAGGTCAGTTTATGCTACTTAGACCACTTATTTTTGTACTCCAGGTCTTAGGAAGCTACCTCCCCACTCGACAGTAAAAGCGAGAACAGAACAACGGAGCAGAGAGTATAAACAGGCTTTGCCTTGCCTGGGATAATAAAGTCAGCATCAAGGTCTTATAATGTATGTCACTACTAGAGTATAGGCATATCTATACTCTACAGGCATTAGAGAGTCCTTTCAAGATTGCATACTGCGGCGGATGGACATCCTATGTTTCTAGAGGGGAAACCCGGATTGTCGTCACAGCTTTACTGGCTCTATCATTAAGTTATGTAATCCTCTGGAAGATTATCAGATGGCCAAGTTACGTTACCTACACCCCTCTATAGCTTAACGCTACAGCCATCCAATTGTCTGTAAATGTACAGCACGACGACGTTATTGAAACCTTCATCTACCAGTGTATGATTGCCACTAGGCATCCGTCATGTCCCATTTGAGTGAATGACACTTTCAAAGAACAGAAACCCCCAAAGATGGTCCGACCACGGTCAGTTATAGTCCAATGTCACCATTTGTATCTTGATAGTGTCTTGCGTTGCGTGCTTAACGGACTCACAACTTCCGAATGCAACGACTTCAAGAATCCCAGTACCACAAAGAATTCAAACGAGGTCAAATGCCTTGTTTTCAGGAGAGCTTTGTGTCTGAAGCCACAATATTCAGACGACCAACATGGGTAACCTAAACTGTGCTGGACAGGCCTCATCAGGTCCGAACTACGGGGTGATGAAATTGTTTTTCTGATTTGATCTGACTCAATCTGGTCTGTTTTATTCCCTGTGTTTCGGCTTTGATTATTTCTGCTGTAGCTAAATCCACCACGATATATCTTCTCGTTGCCGGCCTTAAATACGCAATCTATACAATTCTTAAGACATTTGAGACTTTCATTAACATATCCTCCAAACTTGAGCACCTGGACTGCATGAAACCAGTGGCGTCAACACTTACGATATCTTTCGCAGAGAAAGACAGCGACAGTCTTGGCATTGAACATTGCCGCTATCTTAGCTATCAGACATTATCCGAAACTTACGGGATTTACGTATGCAAGCGCGCAGAGGTTATCTCTACACATACTGCGGTGAAATAGGGGTTCTTGATATCGCCGTCGAGTGAAGAGGCTGTGAGAACTATGATGTGGGAAGCAGCTTTGTCCTCTTTGGCTGTGAACTTGTCATAGTACCATTTGAATGAACAGGAAGACAAAGTGGAATTGCTATACCAGGCTCGTCTATATCACCTTTTTTCCAGAGTTGGGCAAAGGTCAGAGCAGCTGTAGGGCATTACCTGGAATAGCAACAACATCGGGGGATCCCTCAAGCGTGGTGTGTCGGTATCGCAATGAAACATACTTAGCAGAGCAAAAGAAACATGCAAAGTCATTCCATACAGTGCAGTTTCTGGCTCTGCTTTGCTTGACCACTGCAAAGGTCGGACAACTCAGAGATCAATCATGTTGACTATCTTCTACGAGGGGTGATATAAACCTTACAAAACTGTACTGTAATCGGCAAATAAGAGATTTCAGCGAATATGTCCAGCAAGGGACTCAATTACGGAAAGTTTTTGGACGTCAGCCTGTTTCTCGGCGAGTAGGCGGCAGAGTCAGACTACAGTACATTACCTTTGAAACACTATAGCAAAGGTATTCTATTGTAGACCTCAAGATTAAGGATTAAAAAAAATGGAAATGCTGGTGAGTCCATGATAGCAATTCCAGTGGCAACGATAATGATTAAAATAACGTTTTCTAACGTGTTACTCCACTTACTCAAACATGTTGCAGTAGTCCTGTTTCTCATGGTGTTCGGAGACGAAACTCAAGTGACACGTGACCCGACACCGGCTGCCGCTTTTGGCTACTCCACCCATTTTGAGTTAAGGTTCGGCACGAAGCGCAATGATCGCCCGCTCCCGCCTTGGAAGGGACCACAGCTGTTGCGGTATTAGTCCTTGGGCACGTGCTTCCAGACCCAAAAGCCGACTCCCCTACCTGCGTCTTATCTCAGTTTGGAGGGCTGAAATACTTACACGCACCTTCAAGTATAGCCGCCTTCGCAGTCTTTGTTTGCGTGCAACTGGCCGCTGGGAATGCAGGCCGGCTATCGTCCTGTGTCTTTCATTTGGGAGTTCCGCGGCGAGGTCGGGCGAGTTGGCTCTGCCCTATCAGCCATTTGCTTACGCTGTCTATTGCCGCTCTACTTCACTCGTCGGCGCCTGTTTGTAACAGCCTCCGCACCAATACGATGATGATTTACGCGCTGTGGCTGACGCCATCCAATCAACGATTTATGTCTTGGATTAGTGGACTGTGGCTGTGTCGCTGCCTAAGACACAGTCAGCCCAAGGCTAAATACTCGACCTTCCTCAAGACTATCGCGCAAACCACTTTGCCGTAGTTTTATCGTCACCTCCTGCCCTTTAAAAGACGCAGGCGTTTGATGCTCTTTGTTTAATTTTCAGCTGCCGAGCTATTACGAGAAACCCCGCAACAAACAGAACCGACTCTCCAGTCCGCATTCGTCTTCCCAAAGACCCAGCCGATCCCCTGCAATGGCTACACAGGCAACTACCGAGTCCAAAAGTCATGATGAATACACTGTGGGGTGGGTCTGCGCTTTACCCAAAGAGCAGACCGCAGCGACAGCCATGCTGGACCAGAGACATGCGGATCTCCCAAAGCCGTCGAACGACCCCAATGCTTACACCCTTGGATCTGTTAGTGGGCACAATGTTGTTATAGCTTGCCTGCCCAAATGGCAGATAGGAAACAATCCGGCAGCCACTGTTGCCGCCTTCATGATCTCCACCTTTCCTTCCATTAGGTTCGGACTAATGGTTGGCATTGGCGGCGGTATTCCACCCAAGGTCAGGCTCGGCGATGTTGTCGTTAGCACACCGGTAGGCAAGTTTCCCGGCGTGGTCCAATGGGACCTCGGTAAGGCAAAAGAAGGCGGCAAATTCGAACGGACTGGGTCATTGAATAACCCCCCTACCTCGCTGCTTACGGTTTTGTCAAAACTGGAGTCAGAGCATGAGTTAAACGGGCCCAAGATACCAGCATACCTAGACGAACTGAAGGAGAAATGGCCAAAACTGGTGCCCAAGTATCTAAAGTCCGATTCACTTGAGGATGTGTTGTTTTGCAGGGACTACGGCCATTTTACCGAAAGCATGGATTGCGACGCCATCCCTGACAGCGAAGACGAAGAGGAGGAAGAGAATTGCCGATTTTGCGACAAGACTCAAGTTATAAGGAGGAAACCTAGAGATATGCGTGTGCACTATGGCCTGATTGCATCTGGCAACCAGGTTATCCAGGACGCTACCTTCCGGAAGAAACTTATTGATGATCTTGACGGACATGTTCTCTGCGTTGAAATGGAAGCCGCAGGATTAGTGAATAACTTCCCTTGCATTGTCATCCGAGGAATTTGCGACTATGCAGACTCGCATAAGAACAAAGACTGGCAGGAGCATGCTGCAGCTGTGGCTGCAGCGTTTGCGAAGGAACTTTTGGAACATGTTCAGCCAGGTGACGTTATCCAAGAGCGTCCAGTGAAGGAAATACTTAGACAGGGTCAGTCATTCTCTGGTTGAGCTGATAGCATTTGCCTAATGATAAATACAGTTCTTGATGATACATCCGCAATTCGAGAAAACACCACACAGACCCGGGCCAAGTTGGACAGAAAGGAAGATTTTGAGATTCTTGATTGGCTCACACCCATCGACTACGGGCCACTACAAAGCGATTACCTTGGCAGACGGCAAGCAGGAACTGGGGATTGGCTTCTCCAGTCGGAGGAGTTCTTGCATTGGCTAGCTGCGAGCAATCAGACGCTGTTCTGCCCTGGCATACCTGGGGCTGGAAAGACTATCCTAACGTCAATCGTAGTCGATTTCCTCAATTCAAGGTTTGGTAAGGACTCGGATATCGCCATCGCGTACATCTACTGTAACTTCCGGCGGCAACACGAGCAGAAGATTGAGGACTTGCTGGCGGGTGTGCTGAAGCAGCTGACTCAGTGCCGGACTTCCTTACCAGAGAGCGTCAAAAGTCTCTACGACCAGCACAAGACCAAACGAACGCGGCCATCCCTCGACGAGATTTCAGGACTCCTTCAGTCCGTGGTGGCGATGTATTCGAGAGTCTTCATTATCGTTGACGCACTTGACGAATGTCAAACATCCGATGGATGCCGGATGAGGTTCCTCTCGGAGCTTTTCAACCTTCAGACAAAGCACGGGATAAACATTCTTGCAACGTCGAGGTTCATTCCGGAGATTATGGATCGCTTGGAAACCAGTCCATCGATAGAGATTCGTGCAAGCCCCGACGATGTGGCAAGATACCTCGAAGATCACATGGGGCAGCTACCATCTTTCGTCCGGCAGGATCGACAGCTGCAAGAAGAAATTACGAAGGGTATCTCAGAAGCCACTGATGGAATGTAAGTTCTTATAGTCGGAAGGGTAGTGCAACCACTAATGATCCGCAGGTTTCTTCTGGCACAACTGTATCTTGGCTTTCTTCGCGATAAGCTAACAATAAATGATATCCGAAGCACAATGGAGACTTTCCTGAAGCAGGGTCAAGGATTAGACGAAGATCGGAAGGTTCAAGTCCTCGCTTCTGCGTACGAAGAAGCCATGGAGAGAATCAACGGACAGATGCCAGGAATGAAGACACTTGCAATGAAGGTCCTGTTATGGATAACGTGCGCAAAGAGACAGCTTACTACATCAGAACTTCAGCATGCCATCGCAATAAAGTCGGGAAAGTCTGAGCTGGACTGTGGCGACCTGACACACATCGGAGACATGGTATCTGTATGCGCTGGACTGGTAACGGTCGATGATGAGAGTGGCATCATCCGACTGGTTCACTACACAACGCAAGAGTACCTCAAGCGGACACAAGAGCGATGGTTCCAGGACCCAGAATCTGTAATCACAACAGCCTGCGTTACCTACCTCTCGTTCATCGTCTTTGAGACCGGGTTCTGTGAAACGGACGACGAATTTGAGGAGCGATTGCGCTCAAATCTGTTTTACGATTACGCCGCGCACAACTGGGGTCATCATGCGCTCAAGGATGTAACATCAAATCAAGTGGTCATCAGCTTTCTCGAGAGTCAAGCTAAGGTCGAGGCATCATGTCAAGCACTCATGACAACCAAGCAATTTCCACGTTACTTAAATTACAGTCAACGCCCGCCAAAGGAAATGACGGGACTACATCTAGCATGCTTGTTTGGATTAAGCTACGCTGTAGATACACTACTTACACTTGAACACAATCCGGAACTAAAGGATATTTACGGATATACGCCGCTCTACTATGCTGCCCAGAACGGACACAAGGCCGTCGTCGAGCTGCTACTAGCAGCGAGAGCTGATGTCAATGCTGCTGATAATGGATGGACTGCGCTCTATGCAGCAGCTACTAGAGGCTATCTCGAGGTTGTTAAGAAGCTGCTAGCAGCAGGAGCTGATGTCAATACTGCTGCTGCTAATGGAGGGACTGCGCTCCATGCAGCAGCTGAGGGAGGCTATCTTGAGGTTGTTGAGAAGCTGCTAGCAGCAGGAGTTAATATTAATGCTGCTGCTGCTAATGGATGGACTGCGCTCCATGAAGCAGCTGGGGGAGGCTATCTTGAGGTTGTTGAGAAGCTGCTAGCAGCAGGAGTTAATATTAATGCTGCTGATAATGATGGATGGACTGCGCTCCATGAAGCAGCTGGGGGAGGCTATCTTGAGGTTGTTGAGAAGCTGATAGCAGCAGGAGCTGATATCAATGCTGTTGATAATGGAGGGACTGCGCTCCATGCAGCAGCTGGGGGAGGCTATCTTGAGGTTGTTGAGAAGCTGCTAACAGCAGGAGTTAATATTAATGCTGCTGATAATGATGGATGGACTGCGCTCCATGAAGCAGCTGGGGGAGGCTATCTTGAGGTTGTTGAGAAGCTGATAGTAGCAGGAGCTGATATCAATGCTGTTGATAATGGAGGGACTGCGCTCCATGCAGCAGCTGGGGGAGGCTATCTTGAGGTTGTTGAGAAGCTGCTAACAGCAGGAGTTAATATTAATGCTGCTGATAATGATGGATGGACTGCGCTCCATGAAGCAGCTGGGGGAGGCTATCTTGAGGTTGTTGAGAAGCTGATAGTAGCAGGAGCTGATATCAATGCTGTTGATAATGGAGGGACTGCGCTCCATGCAGCAGCTGGGGGAGGCTATCTTGAGGTTGTTGAGAAGCTGCTAACAGCAGGAGTTAATATTAATGCTGCTGATAATGATGGATGGACTGCGCTCCATGAAGCAGCTGGGGGAGGCTATCTTGAGGTTGTTGAGAAGCTGATAGTAGCAGGAGCTGATATTACTGCTGCTAATGATAATAGAGAGACTGCGCTCTATGCAGCAGCTGAGGGAGGCTATCTTGAGGTTGTTGAGAAGCTGATAGCAGCGGGAACTGATGTTAATGCTGCTGCATCTACTTTTCGTGGGGCTGCACTCCGAGAAGCAACTGATCAAGGCGATAGTAAGATTGTCAAGAGGTTACTAGCAGCAGGTGCCAAGGAAGACTAAATACGCTGTTTTAATACACTATCTACCTCCTTGTACTCGGAAGTTTATGGCATCATGGAGGATGTACTGGAATACATCAGTGTTGAACCTATCGCCGAAGATAACCCTTCGAAATCTATCAATATCACCGAGGTTCTCAAAAGATTGTCACCGTTCGATAAACTCATCACATGGACTCTGAAATGAGATATCTAGAAGATGATTAAGGATCCTTATTACTGAGCGGTGCTGGTTAGCAATTCTAATGTCCTAGAGGCCCTGAAAAAGCTTATTCTCTTTCCTACTTATCCTTACTTGTAAATCCCTTAGCCCAACCTCGGCACCGACTCAGCTTGGAGCGGCAAGAGCTCGGTCCTATAAATGGAAATGGATTCTGGTATGCCTGAGTTTCGTCTCCGAATTATTCGTTATAGCCTCTTGACCCTTGACACATCTGCAACACTTACAAGTTAGCTTTTCATCTGAGTCCCAGTCACTCAGGACCGGCCCCGGTTTAATGCATCGTTCTGCGTAATATAAGTGGCAACAGAGAAGGACAATTCGATGTTAATAATAAGTAAAATGTTAAATTTAAAGCTATAAACAATTGACCTTTATTAAAACGGCAGAGAGATGAAACGACAAGTACCATCCATATCAACGTGTGAAGCTCATGATGCGATTCTTACCTAATCTCTGTTGACTCAGACCTTTCGTACTTTTCATTGGATTGAAAGAGCAGCAGCCAAAGCCGGTGTATAGTCAGGTGACCAGTGGCGCAGCGGTAGCTGTTTTTTTCTGTACCGCGAATTGGATTCATTCTCTACTGTACCTCTATTCTTGATTTTTCTTTTAATAAACAATGCACCGCCGTTAATTAATACCGTGGGTTCTCATGTTTTTAGGTTTCTCAGACTGTAGCAGGAAGGTTAGTGGTGAGAACCCTATGACCACTCCAGAACGAGAGACTGTTATTCTGTACCTACTTGGGGATTAATCGCAGCGATAAAGCAACAAGTAAAAGTCTACTGCTAGACAATTAAATGAGGCAACTTTGACTGAGAATAAGGTATAGCCATAAAGAAAGAGATAATTTGGAGCTATTTTAATTGACCCATACCGACGACGCAGAAGATGGAAGCTCTTATCTTATCGCATTCTTATCGGATCCATCTTATCTTTATCAGGTGACTGCAAAAGGTTAATTGAACAGCGACAAGACGGAATTTCTCATTCAAGTAACCATCGCAATCCTCCCGCTGTAGAAAAAGAGACTGCCTCAATTGGAAATTCATCGTCGCGATAGAGCAATTAAGCTTAAACCCTCCAAGTCTGATATCGGGGTTTTGTCCGACGAATATTACCTATCTGGGACAATCCTACCACCATGTCGTTCTTTGCGCGGCATATGACGCGAGCCTTAAGTGGCCCGCTAAATGCCTATCTTGATCTGCTATCGCCAGGATGCCGATCTAGAGGCACGAGAATGTTGCTGGGATGTTAACGAGAAAAACAGGCCCCTTGTATATAACTCCTGTTTCATCTTTAATGTTTTTTTTTCTACTCAGCATCTTGACTTGCATTTGTGACGAGACAATGGCGAACACTGAAACACAAACACAACCAGCCGAGGTTGGGTCTTCATATCCTCCTCAGACGGGCATCTTCAAGCACATTTCTGGAGTCATTCCTTATTTCAAGAATCCACGGCATGTATTGCTTCTCAAGCTTGACTGTCTTCTTCTTACGTGGACGTTCATTGCTGGTATCATGAAGGAGATGGATCAGTCTGCTACAACGCAAGCTTATGTTTCGGGAATGAGAGAGGCGCTGGGTTTATATGGAAATGAGTTGGTCATGTTCAACACCTTCTTTTCCATAGGATATGCCATTGGGCTTGTGCCAGGGCAGTTAGCTCAGACGAGGGTGAGTGACGCCAATATCATCGAGCTTACAACGCTGACTTTATGATAGGTTCGACCGTCTATCTTTCTCCCAACCTGTGAGATTATCTGGGGTCTTTTCGTCTTGGTGTAAGTCCAACATACAGACCTCAACTCATACACCCAAACTCACTCTCTCACAGAACCTGCCAAGCCAAAAGCGCAACCACAATCTACGTTCTTCGCTTCTTCCTCGGCCTCTTCTCTGCCGTCTTCTGGCCCAGTGTCGTCTCCCTCATCTTCAACTGGTACACACCCAAAGAACTCGCCTTTCGAATTGCCTGCTTCAACGTATCCGACGTCGCAGGCGCCATGTTCCTCGGTGCTCTTCAAGCAGCTCTGTACCGCAACTTGAACGGTGCCCATGGTATCGCAGGATGGCAGTGGTTGTTTATCGTTTCGGGCGTCATCACCATCGCTCAAGGAATCGTGGGCTTCTTTGTCATTCCTGATACGCCTTCGTACACTCGTGCCAAATGGTTGACAGAAGACGAGAAGAAGCTCTCACGAGAGCGTATGGGAGACTTTGGAGCCAAGACTTCAAAGCTGATCCCTACTTCGGTTCTGAAGAACAAGTTGCGCAAGCTGATTACTCACCCTGTCACTTTTTTCTTCCTCTGCGCGTTTGTCATGAACGCTTGGGCACATCGAGCAAACGCGTACTTTGTTCTGTATATCGAGAGTCTCAAGGACAGCGCAGGAAACCGCATCTACAGCACGTATCAAGTCAACATCTTGCCGTTGGGCGGTTATGCCATGCAAATCTGTACCAACCTGATTCTCAACGGCCTGTCGGACTGGAAGCACTGGAGATGGCAAATCAGTTCAGGCTGTGCTTTTATGCTCGGTATCATGCTGAGTGTTCTCTGCGCCTGGCCATCTGACAACAAAGTCGTTATGGGTTTCTACTTCATGACCTACGCTGTCAACGCAGGAAGTCCAGCCCTGATGGCATGGTTTGCCGAGTTGATGCGCAAGGAACCCGAAGCGCGATCTATCGTTGTTGCTCTTACCGTCATGATCGTCTACATTGGACATGCAACTATTCCTCTTCGTGCCTTCAGGGTTTCTGATGCGCCTCAGTATCCGATCGGATTCCCTCTCACTACTGCGTTCTCGTTTGGGTCTGTTTTTGTGCAGCTTGGATTGCTGTGGTGGTCTCGAAGAAACCCTCAACTTATGCAGAACGGTTATGAGGGTTCTTCTATTGATTCACGAGCTTCTGATGAGGAGAGCTCTGGTGGTGTTGATCAGGATGGAGAGTACTCTACCAAGGAGAAGACGAGCCCTGTTGTTTCCAAACTCGATGGATGATTTGAGGCACGTTCTGTTCAGGTTTAGCTAGCTTATGTTTGTTTCAATGATCAAGTCTTTGTTTTATGCAGCTTTTGCTTGAATGATCAGTCAGCTTGTGGAGCTGTAGCTTATATCACAGAACGTCGAGTTGCATAGAAGGTGTCACTTGCCTTACTCATCTCAGATGTGACTCGTCGAACTTGTGCATAAGCATAATCCTTGTCCGACCCTGTCTCGGCCAACACCGAACCAGATGCACAATGCTGTCATCTGCCATCTTCTATGTAACCCTATAACCCTATCTCGAAAAAGGCTACAGTAACTGTGAGTGAATGGTCCAATGAGTCTAGCGGAAACTTGATACAGGTCACACACACTACTCGTAGTAGCAGGGATGATGGTTGGTGGAGGTCGCTTTGCTGTTGCTCGTGTGATGCTGGCTGTTCACGAGTTTCCATGACTGTTGACTCTTTTGGGACACTCGAGTACCAAGATGAGCATGGCAGTAACACAGAGGGTCACAGATGGGCATTCTTTCCGTAACCTTGTTCTTCCTCTCCATATAAGCAAGATACAAGGCTGTTTCAGCTTTGATACCTGTTTTGCACAGTCATAAGCCTTGTCACTGTCGATGTTCTAAGTCTGGTGCATATGTGGCTAAAGGTTGGAGGGCTGCCAACAGCAAGGTCACAACAGACCGCCACCACTGCCACCTTCCTTAGAAAGAGTCCCTTTCCTAGAGAAATACCATAGCAGACTCAAGGTTTTGGTTGAGTCTGTTGAGCTCAAGCTTGAGGGCATGGTAAGTACAAGTAGGTACGGCTTGAATGGATGTATAGCTATGAGACACCTCGTCATCAGCTAGCAGACGGTAGAAGAGATGACCTTTAAGCTCTGCGGTACAGGCATAAACACCATGAGAACACTGATCTCAACAGCATAACCTGACTCACAAAATTCATCTCTTATGTTCACAGTGACCAAGTTTTCCGATAATATTGAGAAGTACGTGCACATGGTGTTGAGTACCTTGATGGCCTTGGTCGATGATGGTAAAGACGTGAAGGTTGACTCATTGGGCATGAAAAGTAGCTGACTTCTATGGTAAGACTAAATACGTTATGTGACTGCTTGGACTCGATCTCGGCATGGGCTTTGTTAAATGGTATGAGGAAGGTTGTGTTGTGGATACTTAACACACATGTCAGCATGGAAGCGATGAAAGCTATGAAGGCAGCGTGTTGATAGACTGGGGAATGGTACAAGACCTCTGCCTACCCGGCGACATCAATTGACCAAGTCGACGAGGTAGAGTTTGCAGCGGTCGGCAAACCCATCAGTGTTCAAACACACAAGCTCGATTAAGAGGATTAAAAGCAACAGCTCAACATATATTTAATTGTAACTATCTTGTATCGTTCTGGCCAACACTCAGATCACTCAACAACATACGATCCGGATCCAGAACTAGGTATCTATGGGTATCAAGCAGACAGGCACGACTTCAAATCCCCTCACGTATATACGATACTGAGTTCAAAACACATCAAATCAAATGCCAAAATAAATTGCCAAAGCATGTATATATCCTGTTCGCCTCAAGAGACAGTATTACTCCTCTAGTCCTCGTTTGTGGGGGGACCAGCGTAGTTCTTGTGGCCCCAGGCCCAGTACCAAATTCCAGAAACCAAGCATGCGAAGACGAAGACGACGGGAGCGTAGTTGACGGTTTCGGGGGTAACGGGGACGACGGAGGGCATGCAGAAGAGAGGCATGGCGAGGAGAGACCAAGCTGAACAGGTTAGCAAAGGACGTAGAGATTGAGGTGTAATTGAGACATACCGATAGCGATAACGTTGGCGACAGCGCCAAGTTTGCCGAGGTAGAAGTTGCCGGTCTTGACCTGCTTGCGACCGGTAGCGAGACTGATGGCAATGGGAGTAGCGTAAGAAGCTGTCAAACAAATGACACCGACACCAGAGAAGGCGTTGAAGGCGGCAGAGGAACCGAAGTAGATGATACCGAGGATGATCTGGACAACCATGCTGAGCATCATAGCGTTGAGAGGAACGTCGAGCGAAGTGTTGACCTTGGCCCACCACTTAGCACCAGGGATAGCACCGTCACGAGCGAAAGCCCATGTGCATCGAGAAGTGGCAGTTGTGCAACCAATACCGCAGATGATGGCGAGGACGATGAGAGGGAAGAGGAGTCCAAAGGCACCACCGGAGCTACCAACAGCGGTCTTGATGATGAAGGGCACTGGCTGGGCGGAAAGGATGACTTCTTGAAGATCGGGGAGGACGAACATCAACGGGATGATGAAGAGGAGACCAGCGAAGGTGTTGATGAAGATGGTAGCGACCATGGCCTTGGGGACCTGGACCGAAGGGTTCTGAACTTCCTCACACATGCTACAGACGGGTCAGTATTATATTGTCGCATGTTGTCAGTTAAACTCACGAGATGATCATTCCAGTGGAAGAGGTAGCGTAGGCAGCGTGGAGGAGACCGACACAGAAAGACCAGCCCTTGGGCCATCCAGAGTTGGCCTCGAAATGACCAAAGACATAAGCGGCATCGCGACGGCCTCCCTTGGCCATAGCAAGGACACAGACGACAATGGCAATAACACCAGCGAAAGTCCAGAACACAGCAGCGGTCTTAATAATTATCAGCACATCATTCAATCACAAGAGAGACGGTTCACGTACATCAATCCATGGGAGGTATTTGTTTCCGAGCGCAGAGATGGCGTTGCAAAGGAATGTGAGACCGAGGAAGACGAGGAAGACCTGGTAGGCCTCTCCAGACATGACACCGACACCAGGGCTCGACTCAAAGACATTGACACACGAGACAATGAAGAGGGCGGTACCGAAGTTGACAGCGAGGGTAATGGTAATGTTTCCGACAATGTAGAGCCAGCCACAGATCCAGCTTGCAATGCGACGCCATCGAGGAGGGGAGAGCATGAAAGCTTGGTAGTAGACACCTAATTATCACGAGGGAATCAATCAGCGACATGTTTTTTTTTACAAGGCACAGGACAAACGAGCAGGGACGGATCGGAGAGAGAGAAATGTACCTCCAGCTGTAGGATAAACACTGGTGATTTCACCAAGAGAAGCAGCGACACAGACAATAATGAGAGAGACGGCGAGCCATCCCCAGATAACGTTGACAGGGCCACCGCCAATCAGAGGGTAAGCCAAGGTTGTAGCGAGACCGTAGGGAATAGAAGCGAGGACGAAGGACATGAAAGCGACCTGGAAAGTAGAACGGTTTCGCGACAGCTCAGCCTTGTAGCCAAGGTTCTCGAGGAGCTGATCGGCAGCTTCTGGGTTGCCTGCGCCAGAGGCTTTGGAGTTTCGTCGAGGCTTTTGATCAATTGCGGGCTCCATGGCACCGGTGCTGGTGCTGCCCGAGTCGTGTTTGGACATGATTGACAGAGTGAATGAGAGTGTGTGTGTGTGTGAGAGAGGAGACAGAGAGGAGAGAGGGAGGTGAGGGGGGATGAGGGGATTTTAAAAAAGAAAGAAAGAAAACAAATGCCCAAATACTACGGAAATGAAAAGAGAGAGGGAAAAAGATCGAATTGAATCTGGGGAAAGGGAAAAATGACGGACGGGGGGCCTTGAAGAAATTTGGAGTAGCGCATTCACGGGAAACATGGGGGGACCAGGTCTAGGCTAAGTCAGTGGCAATCAAGAGAGGGAACCATGGATCAGGAAATCAAGGACGAGACAGGGGATGGGGATAATGAAATGGATCCCTCTCTGACTGAGACCCATTCCAAAAGTGGAATAGAGAGAGAGAGAAAGTCCACCCACATGAACGATACGATTAGACCAACAAGTCAATTCACTAATAAGGGTATTACTGCGCAATTGTAATTACAGGGAACAAGAGAACATGGCAGTGCTGGTGAAAACAGAGCAGAACCAAGTCTTGACAGTTCTTGAACTAAACCACAACCATGTTAGTGACTCAAAACACAACCAGTAACTTGCCATATCAACCTGTTGGTTCTTATGCCTCTGATAGGCGAGTTCAAACTCTTAGCGCAAGACAAAGAAGTCACTCAAGCAACCAGACAATTCTATAGGCTACTACGTCATGAAAACAGTGGAACTATACAAGCCCCAAGCGGACAAGCCGACAGACACAAGGTTTCGGCTTCAACCTCAAACTGGAAGGAGATAAGCTTACCACCAGTAACTCTCAGTCTCCAACGTTGAGAACGGTTCATGTAATGGGCCAAGCTTTCAGCACATCAGGTAACAAGTTTAAATTAATTAACTGACTCTTTTTTAAACCGCGGATTGCGCAACAACAACATGTGAAACAAGGGACAAAGAAATTAAAAATACCCTGTACCTTGTTGTATGTCTCATATGCAAACAATATGTCCGTTATCCAACTCAATCGACGACATGAACCCCGACAGGCCGAATTCCGGTTTCTCGTTTGACGATCACTCAGCTTTGCATTCCCATACTTTACCTATTTTGGTGAATATCCAGTATGTGATCGTCAGGGTATCGACACCACCACCACCCATTATCCTTGCCTATCATCGAAGGTCGCGTGTGCATCCAAGATTAAAGTTGATACTGTAGTTGATACCATCGTGAGTATCTAGGTTGAAACAAGATAAACGCTTTCTTTTCCCCCTCCTTTATGATAACGATCAACTTATTCCTATCTAAGAAGTCCGGCGACATCCCCCTCTATCCCGTCACACGTGACCGGTACTCAACCTGGAGATATCGGTAGCTGATAGCTGATAGCTGATAGCTGATGATCAATACGCTTGTCATGACGGGCCGTTCCTTGCATGTGTACTCCGTATGTGCATGTATGTATGTGTAGTAGTAGTCGATTAACCCCGTCCTCCATTGTAATCAGCACCACCAGCCTTCCTCAACCGAACCACAATATCCCTCTCATCCAACTCGGACTTATCCCCCGTCGTGACCGCAATGCTATGATGCGAAAGCTGCCTCTTGACATCA